GGGAAACAACATAATGGTGTTTTTGTATCACTGGGACAGAATAAACTTGTTATCCTCTTCCAAGCATATGACATTTGAATTAATTAGATTATTGTTTATAGGTATTTAACTAATAAATCAAAACGAATTTCACCAGTAAAATGTATGTACTTCAGTAGGAAAATAAAAATGAAAGACTGAAACCAACATTTCATCATTGTTTAAGACATTTTAATAAAACACATCTTTATGGGGGTTAGGCGTTTGCTTTACTTTGCGTATCAATGTTAATGATAAGATCTTAAACTGGGGTTATTTCGCACTTTTGCATTAAATGCTAGACGTTTTAGGACATAACGCAAAAATATTAAACATAATTTAAAAAAATACAAAATACTAAAATCAGACAAACGACAACCTTAAATATGAAGACCTGTAGTATTTGATACATTTGTAATTATTTTAAATTTTCGAATTCAAGGGGTAAAAGAAACAGTCTAGAAATATCTATCGTTTTTTTTTGCTATATTATAAGCAATAAAATATTTATCCCAATTCAACAAAGGTAAATAGAAAAACGTCCAATTAACGACAGGTTTTAAAATGAAAATTACTCGTTTTGCTCATACTTAAAAAGTTATTGATAAAGGAGCAAAACAGTTGGTTACAGTCTATACGAAAGAATGTATAATAACAACAATCCTGCTGTTGGACATTTTAGCTATCTCTATTTTTTACGTTTTTTTTTATGATATACAATGCACGATGCAGTATAATAAAGTGGAAAAAAACTTTCACTTGACCATCGTATAAAGAGTAATTTGAAATGTGTTGTTTAAAAGGAAAGGAACAAATCAAATATCAAAACAAATATAAAACATAAAAAGACAATAGTGCGGGAAAGAGTCTATTTATGCATGCAAAATGCTGGATAGTCATAGACTGCAGAAGGGACAGAATTATGAACACACAGAAAACAGAGTCACTAAAACTACTTTCCCAGCATTACTTTTTACAGTGTAGAGTACTACTTTTGGGACAAATTATATAAAAATTATAGAAAAGTTTATCGGCTCTAACTCAGTATATGGATCATTTTATGTTAAGGGGTCTGTATTTCAGTTTGACAGCTTCAGACATAATAATTTTTGACATTTTCAAACTGGACCAAATCACTACTTTACCTAAAAATTCATGCCCCATTTTGTTTTTAAGTGTAATCTCATCTTTCTTCTTACTATTTTATGCATCAAATATGAAGAAATAAATTTTGAAGGTATATGAAAAAAATTGGCAAGTTATACACTATCCACACTTGGGACTCTATTTGTAGACAACAAAATCAAGGGGCGAAACTGTGTCCCCGGACCAAATGTTAGGGTTTAAACGTTCCGAAAGACGCACATAATCGATTAAATGTTTTTTTTTCTTCATTTTTTAATATATACAACATTAATTACTAGTCGTCGTGTCCATACCACTTGTCTGTGTCCAAATATTGAATATCTTCATTATGTTCGTATCCTGCTCCACTGATCCGTCATGTATTCATGGTTATTACAAATTCGGTGGTAACGGACAACCAACACGCGGATTTAAAGTAGGTTTGTTTTCTTTCTTCGCCGATTAAACACGATACTCTAGAGTAAAATTAAAAATGGCCAACTCGAAGCTTTCAATAGTTTGTCTCCTGTTGAACCTTGGTAATATAAATCGGGTTTTTCTTGTCAGTATAGAACAAAATGTGTTTCTTTGAACGAACATTCTATATCTATCCTGTATCTTATCTCGTCTTATTTATTAAGCCCATCAGGTTCTAAAGTATGGAGCTGGATGCGCTTAATGAAAAAGATGAGAAAAGATACAGGAAAGATAAAGAATAATTAATTACATAGCATCGTCTTTTATATCTCTGTAATTTTGGGCAATGGACGTTGCAAACTTCAACAACAAATTTCGTAATCTTGAACTTCATCCAAAATTTGAATTTATTTATCAGGCAGCCAAATTTAATGTACAATGAGCTGCAAAAGTTTCTTATTAGCATCCGATTTCACCTGATAGATGCACGCTCGATGAAACTATATAAAAATAAGGAGATGTGATATGATTGCCAATGAGACAACTATCCACCAAAGTTAAAATGAAGTGGATATAAGCAATTATAGGCAACCGTACGGCCTTCAACAATAAGAAACACCCATACCGTATAGTCGGCTATAAAAGGCCCCGACATATAAAATATGAAACAATTCAATTGAGAAATCTAACGGCCTAATTTATAACAAAACAATTTACGAAAAACAAATATGACAGACATGAACCAGCGACAACCACTGAACTACAGGCTCCTGGCTACTTGTGACAGGCACATAAAGAATGTGGCGGGGTTAAACATGTTTGTGAGCACTCAACCCTCCCCTGACCTGGGACAGTGGTGTAACAGTACATAATAAGATCAAACTATAAAAATCAGTTTAAAAAGGCTTAACTCATCAGATGGATACAAATAAAAATACATCTAACAAAAACACAGAATGGACGTGGACGGGTACACCATTTTTTTCTTAAAATGTCCTGTACCAAGTCAGGAAAATGGCCATTGTTATATTATAGTTCGTTTTTGTGTGTGTTACTTTTTAATGTTGTGTTTTTGTTGTGTCGTTGTTCTCCTCTTATATTTGATGCGTTTCCCTCAGTTTTAGTTTGTAACTCGGATTTGTTTTTATCTCTATCGATTTATGAGTTTCGAACAGCGGTATACTACTGTTGCCTTTACTTATACATCCCAAAAACAAAAATACACTAAGTACAGATATGAGAGTACTCGCAGTTACTCACAGCTAGTTCAAAGCCAATAACAACTAATAAAAAAAAAATCAGGTATCAAAGACTAAAATATCAATCAGTACACATCCAACATCCAATAGATTTAGTGTAAAGACGTTATTGACAGTCAAAGAAAAAACATGACCTTGTGTAATGCCAAACTATAGTTTTGACAGATTGTAGTACCGTGAAAGTACATATGTGTAATATTTAATATGGTTTTAATTTACTGATAACAAAATCAATATTTATACCAATGAAAACAATATTCAAACATTTAATTACAGTGTAGAATAGGTAACCTTTTAAAATAAGTTTATTTAAAGGATCGATAAGTTTACCCGGATCGTATCTAAATTTCCGGGCTCGGTTTACAACATCACCGTAAAATTTAGGATGTGCTTTTCCGTTTGAAATAAGTTTTCTACAGATACAGCCAAACTTGTAGACCAAATCTTTATATCTATGAAAGAATTTAGTAAAGGTTTTAAGTAATTTGTGGTAACGAATTTCCTGACTTAATAATTTACTAGTAATACATAGATTACGCTCATTAAAATCCAAAACGTCACTACAGACACGAGCATAGCGAACGAGTTGGGATGTATAAACGCCGTAAGACGGTGCCAAAGGAACATCACCGTCCAAAAAGGGAAAATTAACAATAGGGAAAGAAAATTCATCCCTTTTGTCGTAAATTTTTGTGTAGAGTTTCTTGTGTAATATTGAAATATCTTAATCTAGGAAAGGACAGTTATTGCTGTTAATATTTGATTTATTTAAAGTAAGTTCCTTTGGGTAAATTAAGCAGATGAGTATAGTTTGTCTAGCGAAATATTGCGTTTATTTTTTCTCGCATTGTAAACATTTTTAATATTCTAATATTGACATACTCTATTGTGTGTTAAAATTACATTGTTAAGCAATTCATATATATATATACATCACTATTCTAGAAAAACATTACACAGTAATACTTAAAAGGTCATCTTATTGTATTGTTTCAACTCCGTAGTTAACCTATAACTACCTTGGAAATCCGTTCGAAACGAAGAACTCCTCTTTCTCATATATTAGTTAGTTCTAAGTTATATTTCACCTTCATTATAATTTGTAGGAAACCACTTTTCGTGGATATCATAGGTATATGTAAACAACGAATTTAAATTACAAATGAACTACACGCTTGTATGCAGACATTGGCAAAACCACGAAATCAAATATCAGCGAAAATAAATAGACCAACTGTATTTGACTTATACACTATTACTCAAATTTAGGCACGACTTATACACTATTACTCAAATTTAGCGTATCTGCCTAAGACCCAGTTACCCAAAAACTAATAATTCAGAGGACATCTACGCTGACTTCTTTGATTGACGAAAACGAATCTTGTGAAAAATTGGAGTTTTACGTTATTTCTCATTTTTGATGGATTTTTAAGACTTGCAATTATCGGTAAATATTGCACAACTAAGTTTTAATTTTCGTTTGATTATTTAATTATTGTATCCAGTTTATAAGGTTCATATGATATTTTTAGAACATTTTATCATACAAGAACTAGAATATTTATTCTTTATATTTGACCTTGATTTAACGGAAATTGACCAGTACGATTTTTTTTTTCTTTTTGTACGATTTCTTTACGACCGGGCAAAACAGAAAGTACAGGTAATAAGCTTTCCAATAAGAAATAATACAGCCGTATGTTAGGTGGGTTCATCACAGTCCTTAACTAGAGTTTTTTTTTGTTTTGAAAAATGTCATTCCTCGCCATTAGTACAAAGAAATAAACAATAACATGTTATTATTAGTAAGATCTAAGCAGACCTTAAAAGATCACTATATATATCACTAGTGCAAGCATATCTATTTTTTAATATTTTTTGGTAATTATAGTCGAAAATAGTGCATTGAAAGTTCGATGGTGGTCTCTAATTGATATTTGAGTTGTTAAGAATAAAATAATCTAGTAACCAATCTCTTGTATGTTGCAATGATACGACAACTAATGACATTTTTGCGCGATATTTGTTTTTTTTTTTTGTAGAATACGACCAATTTCTCTGTTGGAAAGTTACTGCAAATAATATATCACAGAAAGTGCATTGTTGTGCCAAATACCAGAATAACAAAATGCAAATCTTATTTCTTTTTCTTCTGATTATTTTTTTTTTCAATAACAGATGGATATTATTTACGGATGTTAAAAAGAATAGAATCAAAGTTAGATGATAACACTGCACTACTGCAACAAATATTCAGTGGACTTCCAAAAGGTATGTTCAAGTGTATTCTTTCGACAAGGGTATTTTGATAGTGTACATGCTGGCAGAAGTATCTTTAAACAAATAATAGTTAGTTGTAAAAAAAATACCAATTCCTAATTGAGAGGAGGCGGGTTCAAGTACTTAAAACAAAAACAACCTTAATTGTCAGTTTAATTTATCTTGGTTGTTGCTTCTCTTTTATCCACATTTAGGATTTATTTGTTGAATAAGAGTCAAAGCAGTAAACTGTTGTACAAAACTCGTGGATCCATAAACAACAAGATAAAAAGGTACTAGACCGGTTGCATCCAAAGGGTAAGCGTCGCTTGCTATGCATGTGTCCAAACTAATTCAAAATATGTAGGAAGAGAAATGAGCGTAATGGGGAATTCACATATCAGACGATTATTCTGGTAACTTAAGGTATTAGACAACGAACACATGTCTCCAGTAAGTTGAGACACAGACAAGTTGTTTTGGTCAATACATTTGTGATGGCAACAGTAAATCGTATGTGTTGCCGATTTCAGTCATTCATCATCATACATGTTATAACCGTTTGATTATTTTTTTGTATAGAGCTCGCAACTATTAATATAGTCTGTTTAAGGCGAACATAAACGTGAGTAACGTCTCAATTGAGATAAAGAAACGCCATACAATGGGACAAATATAATGTAAGTACTACTTACGGAAAACGATACATAAAATAATACCAGGAATCAACAACAGAAAATACAACATCAACCACGAACGTCTGTCTCCTACTGAAATAGTCATTGTTTTGCTTAGATACTTGTTTGAAGTCGTCCATCAGTTTCCATATCAAGACAAATGATGAGATATGAAACACACTTTTTTGTATCCGCAGTATTTTTAATATCAAGCTTAGTGTATCAGGATACAAAACTTCATTCAACCACTCGATGACTTTTATAAGAATAATGATTCACTGAAATATTAAAACAAGTCGGGTAGCTTTTGTTTACAGTTAGTACACATAGAGGACCCACTGTTTGTAGAAAGATGAAACTATAAACTCCAGTGATATGTTTTCGATCAAAATGTCTGGTAATCTGATGGATGGAATTGCCATTTTGTTCGAATAAATATGGTTATTCAGAAAGTAAGATTTTTCGTACGTTTGTAGTAAACACACTGAGTCTGATGCTGTCAATCTTCTTTCGTATTCTTACAGAATGACCTTTGAGAACTGTAGATATTTGAATCTTCTGTATACATGTTATAATAATAACCTACCTTTATTCTCTCATATTATCGTGCTAAAAAACGTATAGCGATTAAGCTAATTTTTTCGTTGGTGATCATTAGTGTATCCTTCATTTTATTTTCTAATTCATTTTCATCTTGTATAAGGTGAAAAACACAATGACTTTAACTTTAACTTATATTGGTATTTATTGATATTTCACAAGGAATGCGACACTAAGAACCAGTGAACAAAACTAATTTATTTACTTTTTATTGACTCAATTACATTGTAATGTCGGACACAACGTATTGGTATAGAAGAAAGCTGGTTTACGCATACTAATCTTTTTAACATGTTATCAACCTGAACATGCATAATCTATTTGCCGATAAAACATAATCATCCGTTGGGCAACCATTTAAGGTTTCTTTCATATTTGACATTCACATATTATTCATGCTATTAGTCTGAATAAAATGTAGATGTCAAAACCATGGCAGCCCTGTGACACAAAACCAAAAAGACATCTAGAAATCAACATCACATCTTCCATCATAGAAATATTATCAATTTCTAAATCGACCAAATTCCAGTCAAGTTGTGAATACAGCAACACCATTAAAGATATGTAATCAATATCAAGTTCCCTAAATGACAAAACAGCTTGTACAAATGTATATAACACAAGACACCAATAGCAATGTGCCTGACTGATACAGGTACATGAACAAGAAACAGAGTTTTTGAGATATCAACCATCCCTTTTAAATCTGAATCAATGTATACACTAGTAAACGAGTTTTAGTCTTAAACGGTTATTTTGATCTTAACATCGTCTGAAAAAACATAAAACCAATAACTTTATGTCAAAAGTTAAAATCATTTTTAGATATTTTCTTGCAGTAAATTGTTGTTCAGTACCTTTTCAGACATTTGTTGTTTTGTTAATAAAATAACAGGTCCTGATCAATCAGATCATAGACTGAATAGATCAGAATTTGCCGAAAAGTACTGCATTTAACGCAGTTTATATGTCTGAAAATTTACTGAAAGACTGAGTCATGACAGAAAATGTATTTCTGAGTCTATTAAAGGCTGTTCAGATTAAAATGACCATCTAATTTCAAAATTGGTTTACTAGTGAAATATAAAAAGATACATAAATAAAAGTAAAATAGAAACCGACATCGCAAAAGCAATTAACTGATAAATAACTGTATAAACTAATCACGATATCAGGCTTTTAATTTTGTACGCCAGACGCGCGTTTCGCCTACACCAGACACATCAGTGGCGCTCGAATCAAAACAGATGGAAGGCAAAATCAAGTATGAAGTTGAAGAGCATAAAATTGCCAGAATCCCGAAAAATTGTGCCAAATATGGTTTAGACAATCTATGCCTGGGGATAGGAAAACATAAGTGTTTCGCATAATTCAACATTTTAGAAACTGTCAATTTACAAAAATGAATATACCACTGATACAATGTGATATTTCATGTCAACACAACAGTGAAGACTACTAGGCTGTTGATATCCTCGGTAAAAACGTCCACCAGCATTGGCATCGACCCAGTGATTGTATAAACTTATAAAAGATACCAAGCTTATAGTTTGTTACGCCAGACGCGGATGGTATCCACATCATACATATCAGTTGCGCTCAAATCAAAACAGTTGGAAGGCCAAATCAAATACGAAGTTGGAGATCATTTAAAACAAAAATTCCGAAAAGTTTGGCAAAGTGTATAACAGACATCAAAGAAACTATCAACAATAAAAACTTAATAAATTCATCATAGATATCAGGCTTAAAATTCTGTACGCCGGACAGGCGTTTCGTCTTCAAAAGACTCATCACAGACGCTCGAATAAAAAAAGTTGAAAAGGCCAAATCAAGCGCGAAGTTGAAGAGCCATGAGGACCGAAAACACAAAATGTTTATTTTTTCTCTAAATACAGGTAAGGTTATCATTATGACCATGTCAATAATAATTCATTTCAACACAAAATGCTGACTACTGGGCTTGTGATATCTTAGACTACCTAAAACATTTCATAGGAGCTACAATTGCTCTTCTAATGTAAATTGATGTCGTCTTACAGTTTAATGTCGGCGACTGTACATGATCTTGTCGAATGCGCCCTAAATGAATAAACAATGTGCAACTAAAGTTTATAAAAACAGAGATTTTTTAATTCTTTAATGGTGAGTTTTCTATTTTTTTTTTTTACCGGTTTTATGTTGAAACATTCCAGTAACATCTGTGTATGAAGTGTACATTGCACTTGTGGATTCTAATTTCCTCCTTGCTATATCTTATGTATGTATGTTTGCGTTTTACAAGGTAATCGAGCAACACAAGGAAACACCGTACTATTTATATCTCTCAGCAGTAGTTTCATTTTATTACGCATTTTCTTTACTCTAAATTCGATCTTATTTTATTCTTTTCTTTATTTTCAAACATCAAAGAAATAAGGGAAGTTTCGAACGATAGTCATCCAAACAAAGTTCAACCCATTCCGTAGACTATGCATGAATGGCTGTTGATCCATATTTGAATACATATATGAATACATATATGCACACTAACATGGACCAATCACCTTATTGGATTGTTGACTTGGGAAAACTATACGAAATAAAGCGGATTGAAATATTCAACAGAAAGCAAGGCGCCATAAACACAGGTGGGTAAAGTTATCTACTTCACTTTCTTTATTATGAACTTTTGAAAATTAATTTATTTCAATTGACTGTTTTTTGGCATGCATTTTATGTTCTAATAAAAAAAGAACTTTTGATGCTAAGTTTTAACGTTAAGGTGTTAGGCCACCAATTAAAAACCCAAATATAATCAAGCACATTTTAAAATTTCTACAGCTTTCTATTTAGTTTACCTTAAGTTTAACTTCATATAAACAAGGTATATCCTGAATTGTACATGTATCACAATTTTCTACCAATGTTTTAAAGTCTTGTAGTGAAACACGATCGTTCAAAAGTATAATAATATTAAAAATAACCCCTGTTTTTTTGGAAATCTTAAAAAAGTAAACTACGGCGCGCATTCATCCACAGTTTTTAATGCAAATTTTGGCTCAAAGTGGTCTAAACATATTTCTCTTTTACCAAAAGTTTCATTTCTGAAAAATGTTTAGTTAATTTTAATGAACAATGACAGTAAAGACGCATTTTTTGCCAGAGCAAGGCTAATTTACTGGTCTTGCATCTACGCATAGAAGCTGATAGTCGTGTTTCGCCATTTAAAGTGTACAATTTACGTTTTCGTTCAAAATATGGAGGATTTTCAAAAGCCAACCGTTAGAATCACCATAACGAAATCAGTCATCGAATGCAACAGGGAATGCTTTAAAAAAACATACAAGGATTGAGGTATACGAACAAAGTACATATACATAATAAACTTCTATATAAGCATAGAAAAATCAGATAAGCTTTTCATTTATTTTAGGACGACGTCTACATGACTTGGACATTACTGTTGGTACTTCACATAATGAAATGCATCTATGTGCCCATTACGTAGGACCAGCTCAACTTGGAGCTTGCCTTGTGTTTGAATGTCAACATTACGAGAAAGCACGTTTAGTGAAATTGGTGATACGAGGAAGAGAGTTTTTGCATGTAGCAGAAGTCAAAGTGCTTGCGCTGGATGATATATGTGGCTAAATCATTTATATATTAAGCTATGACGTTATCTTATAGTTAATAAAAACAGTTTATTTTTTTTCTTTGTCTTTACAATCAGAACAATACAGCAGTAAGAAG